ATGGCGCAGGTCTTTGATGGAATCACCGTCCTGGATTTCACCAGCGGGCGGGCCGGCGGCGTCGCCACCATGGTGATGTCCGACTTCGGGGCCGAGGTCATCAAGGTTGAGCCTCCGGGCGGTGAAAAGTTCCGGAACTCGCCGGGATCTATCCAGTGGAACCGGGGGCAAAAGAGCGTCGTCCTGGACCTGAAAACGCCGGAGGGACGGGATAAACGCGCGGGAGTTGGCGCGGCTTTCCGACGTGGTGGTGGAGAGCTTCCGGCCGGGGGTGGCCAAGCGGCTGGGCATTGATTACAACAGCCTGCGCGCGGAGCATCCCGGGCTGGTGTATGCCACGCTGACCGGCTTCGGGACCGAGGGGCCCTACGCCAACTACAAGGGCTACGACGGCGTGGTGGCCGCCAAGAGCGGCCGGATGATGATGTTCGCCGAGCAGCATCCCCGGGAGGGTCCCAACTACGTGGTGGTTCAGGGGGTCTGCCACGCGAGCGCCACGGCGCTGGTTCGAGGCATCACGTCCGCTCTCTACGTGCGGGAAAAGACCGGACGGGGCCAGCGGGTGGAGACCAGCATGCTGAAGGCCGTGACCACCTACGATCACGTGTCCTGGGTGTACGGCCAGATGATCGAGAAGCAGCCGGACACCTACCCGCCGGACCCGAGGGTGGCATCGGTCGTCCCAACCCCACGTGGGTACCTGCCGGCCCGCACCAAGGACGGCCAATGGATCCAACTGGGGAATGTGGTGGAGCGGCTGTTCCGGTCCATGATGCACTGGCTGGACATGGACTTCATATACGAGGACCCGAGATTCAAGAGCGCGCCCTTCCTGGATCAGGACGCCGTTGCGGCCTGGAACGGATCATGCTGGAGAAGGTCCAGGAGAAGACGCTGGACGAGTGGATGGGCATATTCCTCGGTGAAGCCGGCAACGTGGCCGCCGAGCCCTACCTCACGTCCGAGCAGGCCCTGGACCATCCTCAGATCGTGCATAACGGCAACGCGCAGGACGTGTTTGTCCCTGGGGTCGGCGGAACGCGGCAGCTCGGCCCCATGGTGAACATGAACGGGACGCCGGGCAGCACGCAGGGGCCGGCGCCGGCGCTGGGTCAGCACACGGCGGAGACGCTGGCCCGCCTGGGCGGCGACGCCGGAAGTCGTTCCAACGGGGCCAGGGAGGCGATGCCAAAGCACCCACTGGAGGGGATAACGCTGCTGGATTTGGGGACGGTAATCAACGGGCCGCTGGGCTGCGCCCTGGTCGCCGAGTTGGGCGCGAGGGTCATCCGCATCGAAGCGCCCGGCGGCGACTGGGGCCGGCGGGGCATGCCGATGTCGGTGCACCGAACCATGGGAGGCTCGGAGTGCATTTGCCTGGACCTCAAGACGCCGGAGGGCCAGGAGATCATGGGCAAGCTGGCGGCAAAGGCCGACCTGCTGCTCCACAGCATGCGCCCGGGCGCGCCGGAGCGGACGGGTATCGGCTACGAGCAGCTTGCCAGGATCAACCCCAAGCTGGTGTACCTGTACGCCGGCGGGTACGGCTCTACCGGACCCTACTCGCACCGGCCGTCGATGGCTCCGATAGCCGGCGCCGTGTCCGGGGGCGGCGTGGCCCAGATGGGTCGGGACGCTTTCCCGCCGCCGGAGCAGGCCATGTCCATCGATGAAATCGCGGCCGTGTCCAGGAAGCTCAAGCGGGCGAACGACGGCACCGCCGATCACACCACGGGCATGGTCAACGCCGTGGGCCTGGTGCTGGGCCTCTATGCACGGGAGCGCACCGGGACGGCGCAGTACGTCGAGTCCACCATGATCGCCGCCAACGCCTACGCCAATATCGACGACTTCTACTGGCACGAAGGCAAGGAGCCGCGCCCGCTGCCGGACGGGGAGGGACACGGGCTGCACGCCCTCTACCGCCTGTACCGGGCGAAGACGGGGTGGGTGTTTTTGGCCTGTCCCTTCGAGGACGAGTGGGAGGCGCTGTGCCGCGCCATTGACCGACCGGACCTGCGGGATGATCCCCGGTTTGCCTCTCCGGAGACGCGGGCGGAGCACGACGACGCGCTGGCCCACGAGTTGGGCCGGGTGTTCGCCGGCGCAGAGCCAATGCACTGGGAGCAGCTGCTCACCGCCGCCGACGTGGCGTGCGTCAAGGCCGAGGACCGGGGGATGTATTTCTTCTTCAACGAGGACCCCCACGTGCGCGAGAACGGCTTCCTCACGCCCGTGGAGGCGCCGCGCTACGGCGAGTTCTGGCGGTACGCTCCGGTGATAGACTTCTCGGAAACGCCGGGCCGGGTCGGGCCGGGCCCGCTGAAGGGTCAGCACACTCGCCCCATCCTCAGTGAGCTGGGGTACACCGACGCAGAGATCCATGACCTGAAACAGCGGCAGGTGGTGGACTGGGAGGAGGAGTAGCCGGCCATGACGCCCCACATCATTCCTGCCGACACCAACGGCATTCGGGACAAGGCGGCGATCGTCGGGATCGGCGAAACGGAGTTCTCGTGGAACTCGGGCCGCAGCGAGCTGCAGCTGGCCTCGGAGGCGATCAAGGCCGCCTGCGACGACGCTGGCATCGCTCCGCAGGATATCGACGGCCTGATCCGCTACGACATGGAGTCGAACCACGAGACCCTGCTGACGCAGTCGCTGGGCATCAAGAACCTGCGGCACTGGGAATCGGTGTCCTACGGCGGAGGCGCGGGCAACGCGGTGGTGGGCCATGCCGCCGCCGCCATCGCCGCCGGCTATGCCAACTACGTGGTTTGCTTCCGCGCCGCCAACCTGCGCTCGGGCTGCGCCTGGGCCGGGCCCGGGGACCGGAGCGGATCGCCGGCGGGTGCGGACAGCTTTGCCGTGCCCTGGGGGAACATGGCCCCGGCGCACCGTTTCGGCATGTTCGTGCGGCGCTACATGCACCAGTACGGGGCCACCAGCCGACACTTCGGGTGGGTCGCGGTGACCCTGCGGGAGCATGCGTCGCGGAACCCACGGGCGCTGCGGAGGGAGCCCAATCACCATCGACGACCACCAGAATTCCCGCATGGTGGTGGACCCGCTGCACGTCCTGGACTTCTGCCAGGAGAACGACGGCGCCGCCGCGGTGGTGATGACGACGCCGGAGCGGGCACGGGAGCTGCGTCACTCGGGCACGCTGACCCTGGTGGAGGCGGCGGCCCAGGGCTCCGGCCCCCGCAACGATGGGATCATCTACCGTCCCGACCTGGCCGTTGCAGAATCTGAGAACACCGCGCGCGACCTGTGGGCAAGGGCCCGGCTGGACGCCAGGGACATGGACGCGCTGATGTTCTACGACCACTTCACGCCGTTCTGCTTGATCAACCTGGAGGCCTACGGATTTGTGCCCCGGGGCGAGGCCAAGGACTTCGTGGATGGGGGAGACAACATCCGGTTCGATGGCGCACTGCCCGTCAACACCCACGGCGGAAACCACTCTGAGGCGTACATCCACGGTCTGACCCACGTACAGGAAGCGGTGCGGCTGATCCGGGGCGACTCCACGGCGCAGCCGCCGCACAAGACCATCAACCGGGTGCTGTCCTGCAGCAGCGTGCCCAGTTGAGCGGGCGCCGTGATAATCCGCCGGGGATAGCACGGGAATGGCCCCCGGATTGTTCGGGAATAGCGAGGAGATTCGATGACCCAACAAGGAGAGCAGACCGCCAGGTCCCGGCCGATGACCGCGCCGCTGGAAGGCGTGCCGCTGCCAGACCTGGAGCGGGTGCCGGACTACGAGCGTGGGTTCTGGGAGGGCTCGCGGGACGGCGAGCTTCGCATCCAGCGGTGCGCGGACTGCGGGCGGTTCCGGCACCTGCCGACGCCGATGTGTCCCGAATGCTCGTCGCTGGAATACACCTGGAGCAGGGTCAGTGGCCGGGGCTTCGTGTACTCCTACGTGATCGTGCGGCACCCGGTGCATCCGGCGATCCACGAGAGGGAACAGACGCCCTACAACGTCTGCGTGATCGAGCTGGAGGAGCAGGAGGGTCTGCGGATTTGCAGCAACGTGCTGCAGGTGGCACCGGAGGACATCGGCATCGACATGCGGTGCAGGTGGCCTTCGTTCCCGCGGTGGACGATCCCCAGGTGTTCCTGCCGATGTTCCCCGTCTTTCCTGCCCGCTTCGGAGCGATAGACGACCGGCTCCGGCACGGCGTTGGTCTGCCTGCGAGGTCTGGCGGGTCACGCAATCAACATAACCGTCCCCGAGGAGAGTGAGAGTCATGGCCAACGCCTTCGGCAAGATAATCGCCAACGTGGCGCGACTGCACCGGCTGATGGACGAAGAGGGGGTCTCGGCCATCGTCGCTCGTTCGGGCAAGAACTTCACCTACCTGGCGGGGTTCGCGTATCCCGGCACGCTGGCGCGGCACCTGGAGTTCCCCGACTCGCCGCGGGAGGTGCTGCTGGTGTGGCCGCGGACGGGCGAGCCGGTGATGGTGCTGAACTCCTACGCGGCGCCGCTGGCACGGCGGGACTCGTGGCTGGAACGCATTGAGGTGGTGGACGACTACGCGGAGTCGCCCTACGAGAGGGCGGCCGAGGTGCTGCGGCAACTGGGGCTGGCGGAGGAGACCATCGGGTTCGAGAAGGGCTACGTCAGCGCGAACCGGTGGGAGGAGATCGGCCGGGCGCTGCCCCGGGCGCGCATCGTGGACAGCACCGACCTGATGGACCGGGTGCGCTGGATCAAGACGCCCGAGGAGGTCGCGGCGCTGGAAGCCGGCGCGCGGCTGCTGGGACGAGGCGTACCTGGAGGTGCTGCCCACGGTCCGGCCGGCGACACGGAACGGCTGGTGCACAGCCGCATCGTCGAGAGCTGCCTGCGGCGGGGCGCCAAACTGGGTCCACGGCATCCTGAACTCCAGCCGTCAACACGGTGGGTTACGGCGGCGAGAGCGACCTGGCCTTCGAGGCCGGCGACATCATCCGCAACGACTATGTCGCGTACCTGAACGGCTATCCGGCCACCAGTCGCGGACCGTGTGCGTGGGCGCGCCGTCAGACGAGCAGAAGCGGGTCTACCAGGTGGTGCTGGACATCTACCGAGGGCACCATCGACCGGTGCCGGCCCGGGCGCGGACGGCGGACATCTACCACTACGCCAACGACGCGTTCCACGAGGCGGGTTCGACGGCAACGTGGCGCTGGCCGGGCCACGGCGTCGGCGCGTGGTGGCACCAGCAGGAGCCGTACATGGTGCGTCCAGCGAGCGGGTCCTGGAGGAGGGCATGGTGGTGGCGCTGGAGCCGCACATCGGCCCCTGCTGGCACCTGCAGGACATGGTGTGGTCACCGACGACGCGCCCAGCTGCTGTCGCCGCTGATGGGGACGGACGAGATGGTGGTGGCGGGGCGTAGGGAAGAGGTAGCCGAGCGCGGTTTGACCGTTGGTGTGTATGATGGGAATTCACCGGTCGAAGATCAACGGCATCAAAAATCTGCAATCCGCGCCAATGTAGACTCACCAAAGAGAAAACTCGTTCACGATATGTGCACAATCACTCAAAAGGCAACATTCGCTAAAATGTCTGTCGGTGTACACAATCTTCTCTGGGTAATAGCTGATGGCATTCGCTACGTAGCTTTCGTCTGGTTGGTAATATTTGCGGGGCGTTAGGACGACGGTTTTGTTTATAATCTCGGGAACCAAAGAATACGCTACGAGTTCACCAAATACGCCTATGCTCGCCGGATGTCTGTAATGCAATAATCAAGTCAACATGCTGGGGAGCGAGGACGTCGGCTTCAGACCTAGCCCAGTGCGAATCAGGGTTCACGCGCTGTTCGGGTGTATAAAAACACCTCATGCCGGCGTCCCGCAGCATTGGTAGATCTGACGTCGCTTTTGGCCATATCCCTCGCTCTCAGACGTCATCTTTGGTCCCAAGACGGCAATCGAATAAGATGCGTCGCAAACTTTCATCACCTTCGCGCAGGCGCTGCGCCGCTTCCGAAGAGGCTTGGATGATGCGGTCGTGAGGTGCGTTCATGCGGCGTTCAGCGTGTCGATAAACTGTCTGCCGCGATCAGTGATATATACGCCATTGGCCCCGATCTCACAGAAGTCGCGGCGGCAGGGAGCTTGGCAACGATCGGCCGTCCTCACAGAAGTTGAACCCGGCTATCTCGATAACCGAATCGGCATATAGCCGAGCCAGTAAACGCACCGCGTCGTCTCATTGAACACGGCACCAGCCTTCTCCGAAAATGACGATTGACGCGTCCAATCGGGCTTGTGCATCGACGGAGGAAGGCGTGTTCCTGCCAGCACTCGGGCGACCCAAATCCCTCGTTGACAGCGGTAAAGTCCATGCTCGGCAGATTCATACGGGTTTAGGCCGAAGTCCCAAGCAAGGATGTAGTCTCTTGCCGGCTCAGACTGCCTTGCTTCAACACGGTGGAGTTGAAAATCGCTGGAAAAATCAGCGGGATAGTCAACTCCCAAAACAAGATCACGGTATTCATACTCCAACCCGGACATGTCGCCCACTAGTTCCATTTCGCGAGGCGACGAAATTGGGGATCCTGGATCGATGGTAGTCATCATCCAACCTCCAAGTCGAGGTAGCGCGTACACAAGTGTCGCGCGATCTCGTAAAAATGGTCGACAGCGGTAGTCGACTCGGCTAGGGAGTCCTGGACAGAAGCGACGATTCCGGACCTATTGCTCGTTGTCAGGCTAAAGTGACGAAGCCACCTACGCGGAAGCGCAGGTTCGGGTTGTCAGCAAAACTCAATCCATCGCTCAAAGTCACGTCGATGTCCTTGTCCTCTAGACGGTACGAAACGCGGACAAACAACCTTGGGGTGATGTCGCCGAATGGGATTGCTAGCCCTGAGATAGGGGACGCAATCGTAGTGTTAAAGTCATCCGCATCTACCAACAAGCAGGCCGGGGTGATGACGACTGTATCGACGGACAGATATCTTGGTGAGCATTCAAAATATCTGGAAGCCACATCATCGCTGCCCAACTCAACCGCGGGATCCACCAAGCCCTGCTGATAAAAATATACGAAGCGATCTCCCGCAGTCACAGTAAACCCGTTGAGTACTCCACACGTGAATGGCCGGTTTCCAGTACAACCGGACGCTCCACAACCCATTCGCTAGGCACGATCTCGTTCACTCGGAGGAAATCCGGGTTGATGTGCGCCGGTCGGGTGTTGGCAGCGTGGAGAAACGGACACCAAAGGAGTTCAGCAGCAATCTGGAGGTTGCCTCCAAGGTTAATTTCAACAGACCTTAGCATGTGTAGCCTAAAGGAGACGAAAGAGCGTGATCGGATTATCCGGGGAGTTGAATTGCCGATCACGTTCTCGTTCCGAGTGCAGCAGCAATTCACACCATATTACACTGTCTGTCCTATACGGTAAACGTGAAGGGAACGTCCGACCTGGCCGCGAAGGGGTCATCCCGCCGCTGGCAATGCGATCGCAATCTGGGTTTGGTGCGATCTCTTTCAGTGCACGAAAGTGGCGTGCTGATGGACCCCCGCCGTACACCGGAACCGATCAAGTAGCCTCAGGTGGCTGTAGACAATTGGCCAGGTTTCAGTAGACGAGCATGCCCCAAACTACCCCGTTCCGTCCGCCTCCACCTCGGCCAAAAACCCCAGCACCCGTTTGGTGTACTTTTCCGGCTCCTCGCTGTGGGGGCGGACTTCGGCCCAGCGGCAGTTGGGGACGAGGCGGTGGACGGCCTGGGCGAGGCCGCGAGGGTGGACGTCGTTGTTGCCGGGCATGACCATCGCGGGGACGGCGACGCTTTTCAGCGCCTTCTCGGTCATGCCGAGGGTCAGGTAGGGGCCGTCGAACAGGGCGTAGATGGTGTCGCGCATCACCTGGATGAAGTCCTCGGTGTTCATGGACTCCAGGTTCTTGCGGTAGTCGGCGTCGGTCTGCGCCAACTCGGGGCTGAAGGGAGAGAAGCGGTCGTCGGTGTCGAAGGCGTCCACGATCGCCGCGATGCCGTGGTTCTCGGCCCAGTCCATGCTCTTGAACAGCTTGGCAGCGAGATAGGCGTCGCAGATGACGCCGCCGGCGATGTTGGAGGGGAAGATGGCGCGCACCCGCTCGGGACGGCGGACGGCGCAGCCCAGGGAGATGGCCGCCCCGAAGGAGCCGCCGCCGAGATAGGCCCGCTCGATGCCCAAGGTGTCCATCAGGCCGAACACGTCGTCGCAGACCATGTCCCAAGTCTGCACCACCATCGGGCTGCGGGACTGGCCGCCGAAGCGGCGGTCGTACACCACCACCCTATGCTCCTGGGACAGGCCCTCGATCACTGGCTGGTAGCTGCTGGCAACCCCCTGGAGGCCGCCGGCAGAAAGGATGATGGGCGGTCCGCTCCCTGACTCTTCGTAATAGATCTCGGCGCCGTTCACGTTCGCAGTAGCCATCATCCCACCTCCCGGCAGGCGTTCCCGTATTGGTACGGGCAGTGTCGCGATACTGATACTGGGCGAAGTATAGACGGGGCCAGCATCCCCGGCAACGCGCGGGCCAAGTTGGGGCTGCTTGTACCTATGGCGGCGGTCTGATACAAGTGTCAGACCCATGGCGTCCTCTCTTTCGGCTCTCCTCAACTGGCGTCCCAACACTCCCTTCTATTACGGCTGGCTGGTGCTCGGGCTGTCGGGCGCCGGGGCCTTCGTGGCCACGGCAGTGGCGGGGGTGGTGCTGGGCGGAGTGCAGAGCTTCATCCTGGAGGACACCCTCTGGCCGCGGACCAGCATCGGGCTGGCTGCAAGTTGCGGCGTGTGGCTGTCGGGGGTATGCGCGCCCTTCGCGGGCAGGCTGGCAGATCGGTATGGGCCGCGCTGGCTGATGCCGGTGGGGGTGATTGTGCTGGGGCTGTCGATGGTGGCCATCGGCGGGGTACACACGCCCTGGCAGTTTTTCATCGCGACGGTGATCGGGCGGGCCATCAGCCAGCCGTTTCTCATCGGCGTGGTGCCGCGGACGATGGCGGTCAACTTCTTCAACCGGCGGCGCAACATCGCGCTGGCCCTGACCGGCATCTACCGTCCCATCAGCGCCGCGCTGATCATCCCGGCGTTCGCGCTCATCACCGTGCTGGCGGACTGGCGGACGGCGTTCCGGCTGCTGGGTTTTTTCAGCTTGTTCCTGGCCATCCCCATGATAATCATCATGCGGCGGCGGCCGGAGGACATTGGGCTGCTGCCGGACGGGGCGCGGGCGTCGTCGGCCATCGGGACATCCGGCTCCGCGGCGGCGGCGCGAAGCGGGCACGGGGCTGCTCGGGAGACGCCGGGGACAGAGGCGAGTTGGACATCCAAAGAGGCGATGCGTTCGAAGGCATTCTGGATGGTCTCGGTGGTCGCGTTTCTCAACGTGACGGGCAGTTCCGGCCTGGGGTTCAGCCTGGTGCCCTACCTGCACGAGTTCGCAGGGTTGACCACTCCGCAGGCGGCGGGAGTGCTGAGCGTCAGCACATTCCTGGCGTTGAGCAGCCTGGTGTGGGGACAGGTGGCAGGGAAGCTGACCCCGCGATGGTGCATCATCGCAGCCATGGGGGTGTCGGCGCTGGCGACGCTAGCCTTGCTACAGGTCAACTCGCTGGTGGCAGCCTACGCCTACGGGGTGTTCTGGGGGCTGTTCCACAGTTCGCTGGAAGTGCTGCTTTACATGCTGCTGGCGGACTATTTCGGGCGCAATTCCTACGGGGCTATCGCCGGAGCGATGCGTCCCTTCGAGGCCGGCGGGCTGGGACTGGGACAGATCGTGGGGCCGGTGATCTACGACCTGACGGGCAGCTACACCATCCTGATCCTTTTCTCGGCGGCCGTGCAGGGCATGGCGATGTGCCTGATGCTGGTGGCGCGGCGTCCGGAACGCCGGGCTCCGCTGGCGGCGGAAGCGGCGTAGGCGCGCGGCCGCGGGGAAGTTGGCCCATGAGGCAACGGGTTGCGTCGCGGGCGCCAACGGGCCGCCCCGGCTAGATGTTGGTGAACCACAAACACGTGACCGTGTTGCTGACCCCATTGATGGGGCGAATGCGGTGGCGCATGATCTCGGTGAGGTCCTCGACCGTTCCGGCTTCCAGTTCCACCACAACGTCGTAGGGTCCCAGCACCTCGCGCACCGACGCGCCACTGATGGCGTTCAGGCGGTCGATAACCTCCTGGGTCCGGGCGGGTTCCACGTTGATGAGTACGTAAGCGTTCGCAGCCATGACAGGACCTCCGTTTGGGTATTACCGCTATCGTAACACTGCCTCCAAGTTCAGTTCCTGGGTGAATGCGATGGCTGTGAAAACGTCTGGGGCAAGCGTAGGTTCGGATGTTATTATCACGCTATAGCGGTACACTCCAGAGGGGGTTCGTCTTTTGAGCCTGGTATACCTATGCAAATCGAAAGCATCGAGATCAAAAACTATCGGCTTTTTCGGCATGTTGTGCTGAGCGACTTGCCGAGGATGGTTGTGGTGGTTGGAGCGAACGGCTCAGGCAAATCCACGCTGTTCGACGTGTTCACTTTTCTCAAAGACGCGCTTACTCAGAACGTCGCCGCCGCAGTCGCACGTCGTGGCGGGTTTCGTGAACTGGTGAGTAGAGACTCGACTGGTCCCATAGAACTCATCATCAAATTCCGTGAGAGTGGTGGGCCGCTCGTGACCTATCAGCTGGCTATTGGTGAAGAACAAGGGCGCATCGTTGTGCAAAGCGAAGTGCTCCGTTATCGCCGGGGCCAAAGAGGGCAACCATGGAGGTTTGTAGATTTTAGTAAAGGTGAAGGAACTGCCATAACCAACGAATACGCGTACGGACAAGAAGGCGCTACGGTTGAACGAGCCGATTACAAACTGGACGATCCCAGCATCTTGGCCATCAAGGGTTTGGGTCAATTCCGTGACTTTCACATCGTATCAGAATTTCGGACTCTGATCGAAAAACTGGTACATTTCCAACTTCCAGATAGCCGACGCTCGTCCCAGTGTCGAGGCAGGCTACGCCGAGCATCTATCTGCCCGCGGCGATAACGTGGCCCAAGTAGCTCAATACCTTTACGAGAACCACCGAGACAAATTCGAAAGCGTTCTGCAAGCCATGCGCTGGCAAGTACCGGGTGTAAATCATGTCGAAGCCAAGCCCACCGAGGACGGACGACTCGTACTCCGGTTTCAGGACGGTAGTTTTCAAGATCCATTCATAGCACGGTACGTTTCCGACGGCACCATCAAGATGTTCGCCTACTTGGTATTGCTCTACGACCCGAAGCCACACCCCTTGCTGGCAATCGAAGAACCAGAAAACCAGTTGTATCCAGAGCTTCTGCATCCGCTGGCTGAGGAATTTCGCGCTTACGCTCAACGTGGAGGGCAGGTCTTCGTATCCACCCATTCCCCCGACTTCTTGAACGGCGCCAAACTGGATGAAATATTTTGGCTGGTCAAACGAGACGGATTCAGCATGGTGCGCCGGGCCTCGGACAGCGAAAACCTGCGCAGTTTAGCCAATGGCCAAATGCCGGGGTTGCTCTGGAGGCGCAAATTTTTCGAAGGAGCCGGGCTCAAGTGGGCCGACTGATTTTCCTGCTCGAAGAACCTTCAAATGGAGGCCTTATTACAAGGCATTTTGCCACGTTTCTTTCCCGAATTGCGTTTTCTGTGCATTCCTCATGAAGGCAAAGACGACTTGGACAACAGTATCCGGAGGACTTTGCGTGACTGGCGCACGCCGGGCGACCGCTTCGTCGTTGTAAGAGACAATGATGGTGCCGATTGCATCGCACTCAAAGGCACGTTACAGCAACTCTGTCGTGACGGTAGACGCGAAGACACCTTGATACGGATCGTTTGCCAGGAATTGGAAGCGTGGTACTTGGGCGATCCTGATGCCATGGCTGAGGCATTTGGCGATCGACATTTGGTGAACATCCGCAACCGTCCCAGGTACCGCGACCCCGACTCTCTTCATAAGCCTTCGGATGATGTAGAGCGTTTAGTCAGTGGATACCGGAAGATAGCCGGCGCCGGGCGTATGGCGAACTACATGTCCCGCGACGACAACCGATCTCACAGCTTTTCAATTTTCATCAACGGTATCGAAAAGCTGATGAGTTCTTAGGCGCGTCATTGGAAGAACGCCGGCTCCCCCATCAATCCTTCAGCGCCGGTATCACTTCTTTGCCGAACAGTTCTATCGACCGCATGGTGTCGGCGTGGGAGAGCTGGCCGCCCTGGGCTTCCAGGAGTATGGAGCCGATGCCCAGTTCGTCGCGGATGTGGCGCAGCTTCTTGATGACGGTGTCGGGGCTGCCCACCACCAGGTGGTAGCGGTCCTGCAGCTCCTGGTATGACATCTCGTGGAGGGGCGTGGGCCGCCGGGCCGCCACCGCCGCGGCGCCGGCGCGGGACGTGTAGCCGGGCGGCGACCAGTACTCGCGGGGGCCGCGCAGGGGATAGTTCATCCGCCAGAGGAACGCCTTGCCGGACTCCTGGGCCTTCTCGTCGGTGTCGTTGACGTGGGCGCAGATCATGAAGGCGAACTTCTCGGGGCCGGGCTCCCAGCCGTCGGCGGCGGCGTACTCGCGGTAGCGGGCGAACAGGTTCTTCGCGACGTCCAGCGGGGTCAGGAAGGCGGCGTAGGTGTAGCGGTGGCGCGCCGTCCATTCGACGGTCTCGGGGCTGCCGGTGCCGGGGACCCACACCGGCGGATGGGGCTTCTGGACGGGTAGCATCCACGGGTTCACGGCGCGGTAGTGGTAGTGGTTGCCTTCCCAGCGGAAGGGCCCGGGCGTGGTCCAAGTCTTCACCACCAGGTCGTGGCACTCCTCGAAGCGCTCGCGGTTGTGGATGGGGTTGGTGTTGTTGGCCCAGGATTCGATGCCGATGCCGCGCACGAAACCGGAGATGATGCGGCCGCCGGAGATCACGTCCAGCAGGGCGATCTCCTCGGCCAGGCGGACGGGGTTGTCGGACGTGGGCAGCATGTTGCCCAGCATCAGGATCTTGGCCCGCTTGGTGATCCGCGCCAGGATCCCGCCGGTGATGTTCACCTCAACGTCCATGCACGAGGGCGTGTTGTGGTGCTCGTTGATCATCAGGCCGTCGAAGCCCATCTCCTCGGCGTGCTGATACTCGTCGAGGTAGCGGTTCATCAGGCCGCTGGCGGTCTGGGGGTCGAAGTAGGTGTTGGGGAAGGTGAGCCGCATGGACGGGAACTTCTCCGCCTCGGACTCCGGGAACTCGGCGTAGGGCATCTCGGTGAAGTAGAAAACGTCCATTAAATCGCCTCCGTGACCAGCCAACGCCAACCGGCGTTCCGCAATTGCGCCGGAGTATAGCACGCACCCTTTACCGCCCTGGCCCGACGGCATTCCGGCAGCGACCAGCGCGCTCCATGCGGGTGCGTGCAAGTTGCGCGCCGGGCGGTCGTGCTGCCGCGTACCCACCATGAGGTATTGAGCGCCCGGGAGACCCGTTCCTCTCGGTAGCATCGCGATTGAGGTGGTAGAGTTGGCCCACGGCAAATTGGGCAATTTCCGGCACCTGGCGATCTGAAGGGAAGTCGTATGGCGACTGCATCCAGACCAGATGATCACGCTGGCCATCTACGCAACGCTCTGGTTGAAGGCCTGGTCGAAAAAGGCGCGATTGAAGCCAGGACGTACGCGAGGCATTCGGAAAAGTTCCCCGCCACTTGTTCGTGCCAAAGGTGGACATCGCCACCGCCTATACAGACCAACCCGTGTTTATCCGTTGGCACGCGGGAACGCCTATCAGTTCGTCCACTCAGCCCACGATGATGGCTATCATGGCCGAGCAATTGCACCTGGAACCCGGCTGTAGAGTGCTGGAAATAGGTTCAGGAACGGGCTACAACGCGGCCATCCTGGCTCATATCGTCGGGGACAGCGGCGGCGTCATCACGGTGGACATCGACCAGGATATTGTGGATGAGGCTTCCGGAAACTTGTCCAAAGCCGGGGATGGCGATGTCGAAGTCGTGCGTGGGGACGGATTCGAAGGATTCTCGGCAGGTCAGCCCTACGATCGCATAATGGTTACCGTCGGCGCCCGCGATGTTTCACCCCATTGGGTTGAACAACTGAAGAATGGCGGGATCATGGTAGTCCCGCTGTGGTTCAAAGGTTTCAATCTGAGTGTGGCACTGGAAAAGCGCGACGGCCGTCCTTGAGGGTTTATCCGCGTCCCCGTGCCTATTCATTCCGATTCGCGGAATCGCTGACCTCACCGAGGGATATTTCCCCATTCGGGACGATCCCAACGACGCTCTGCAAATGTCCATAGGCATGGAGCGGGACGACCCGGCCCAACGTCGAGATTTGGACCGGTTTTTGCCCAGAATGTGCGAATCCGCGAGATCGGGCGTTCCCTCGAAGGCCAATTTCATACGCAGGACATCTTCTCCGGTCTCTACGTGTTCCTTACGGTCGACCCGCGGGTCAATGTCTTCTATTCGCCGTCCCAAGACGGTCTGTTCCAGGGTGCCGGTTATGCGCTGATCGACCTCGAAAGCATGAGCGCCGCCGTGCTGTCGGCTGGGCACCCGGAACAAGTCATGGTCTACGGGAATGATGCGCCATATGTTGAGTTGATCGGGCTTCTTGACCAGTGGGATAAGCTGGGGCGCTCTTCAATTCACGATCTGCGTGTCCGCGCGTTCTTCGATCCTCCGCAATCCATGCCTGACGGTCATTGGACAGTCGCCAAGAGGTCGGCTTATACCTGGGTCATGTCGTGGGGCAGTTGAAGCATCGCCGACAGCGGATACCGCCAGATAACCACGGCCTCAGACAGCGTGCCGTCTCCCCGCAACGGCGTTCCCGAATGAGGCCATTGCTCTTATGTTCACCGCGCCGAGGCCCCACGCCAGAGTTGCCAGCAGTATCCGCGCCCCACGCGGGCCGGTTGGGCATTGCGAGCGGAAAGTGCGCAGGCGTGGATGATCAGACTCACGCGTATCCACTTTCATCACCTGTCATTGCGAGAATGCCGTCAGGCATTCGTGGCAATCGCGATACGGTACTTGCCGATCAAGCCAAAACGCCCCTACCAGGGCAGCGAGATTGCCACGCTTCGCTCGCAATGACAAACTGGGTACGCGCGAGGATGATCAGACCGTTGACAATGATAGCGCGATAAAATACTTTGTATCACCCGTTCGCAAGGCTCCCTTGCGGGTACGGGCTGGGAACAGGTTCAGCGTCGGGAGACGTAGCTGATGAGCGCACAGCAGGACTTGCAGCAGGAAGTCGATCGCCTCACCGCAGCGCTGGCGGAGCGGGATCAGGAGGTGGCCTCGCTGCGCACCCGGCTCACCCTGGACGAGAGCGGGGGGCGGGCGCCCATCGTCCGCGGGGAACCGGCGGCAGGCGAAGTCGATGACGCGGAGACCTTCCACGAAGCGCTGCGCGGGCCTGGCCCTGGTTGTCCCGTCTCCGCATAGGCGCCCACCAGGCGGCGCTCAGTTACGTGCCCGATGGGGACTTCAAGGCGGCCATCCACACCCACTCCTTTTCCGAGAAGTACGCCCGATACAACGCTTATGACGTGATGCCGACCGGGGACGGGATCTGGGGACTGGTGGTCAAACAGCGCGCGCCGATCCGGATAACCACGGATGAGCTCTACGCGCATCCGGCGTTCAAGGAATTCAGCGGCCTCAAGAATGGCCAAGGCCTGGAACACCCTCCCATGCCGGGCTGGCTGGCGGTGCCCGTGCTGCGCCGCGACGGCGGGCTGATCGGCGTGGTGCAGCTGAGCGACAAGTTCGACGGCGAGTTCACCGAGGCCGACGAGGACCAGTTGGTGCAACTGGCCAAGTTCTACACGGCGACGTTCGAGCTGCAGTACGTGTACGAGGACCTGCGGCGGCTGACCGGCGCGCTGCGGCAGGCAACCCGGGAATTGCAGCGTTCCAACGCCGAACTGGAGCAGTTCGCCTACGTGGCCTCGCACGACCTGCAAGAGCCGCTGCGGATGGTGACCAGCTACCTGCAACTGCTGGAACGGCGCTACAAGGCGAACCTGGACCAGGACGCCAGCGATTTCATCGCCTTTGCCGTCGACGGCGCGGCCAGGATGCAGACCCTTATCCAGGACCTGCTGACCTACTCTCGGGTCGGCACGCGGGGCGCTTCCTTCGAACCCACCGATAGCCAGGCAGTGTTGGACCAGGTGCTGATGAACCTGGAGGTGGCCATCGCGGAGAGCGACGCCGAGATCAGTTTCGGTTCGCTGCCGAGCCTTTCGGCCGATACCTCGCAGATGGCGCAGTTGCTGCAGAACCTGATCGGCAACGCGATCAAGTTCCGGGGAGACAGCCCTCCCCGAATCCGGGTCGAAGCGACGCGGGAAAGCGACGATTGGCGCTTCTCGGTCCAGGACAACGGGATCGGCATTGACCCCCGTTACTCGGACCGCATCTTCCAGGTGTTCCAGCGTCTGCACGGGATCGGGCAGTACCCCGGCACCGGCATCGGCCTGGCCGTCTGCAAGAAAATCGTGGAACGACACCAGGGGAATATCTGGGTCGAATCACAGCCCGACGCCGGGGCGACCTTTTTCTTCACCATACCGGTTAATCTCGATACCATTCCAGAATCGGACCTGGCCGCCGCGACGAGCGGGCCGGCCGGTTGATGGTTACGCTACCAGCGTCGGCGCCAGTCATAACCCCACCACGCAGCGCAGGAGGAGAAGGCGATGACACTACAATCACGCCGCAGGCCGATCGAAATTCTCCTGGTCGAAGACAACCCCGGCGACGCGAGGCTGACCCGGGAGGCGTTTGCCGACGCCAGCGTCTCCAACAACCTGTCGGTGGTGGGTGACGGCGAACAGGCCATGGCCTTCCTCAGGCGGGAGGGCGATTACGCCGGCGCGCCGCGTCCCGACCTGATCCTGCTGGACCTGAACCTTCCCCGCAAGAGCGGCCGGGAGGTGCTGGAAGACGTCAAGACCGACCCGAGGCTGCTGTCCATTCCCATCGTGGTGATGACCACTTCGGAAGCCGAAGGGGACATCGTCAACTCCTACTATCACCACGCCAACGCGTACGTCACCAAACCGGTTGACCTGGATCGTTTCATCGACGTCGTCAGCAAGATTGAGGGGTTCTGGCTTACCGTCGCGAAGCTGCCGCCGGAGTGACTTCTCGGGAGATCATTCCGTCCAGGTGCAGCATTCGGCGCAAGTCGGCGGCTCCATCACGCGGGCCACCGTTACGACAAAGCCATCATGCGTACGATAAAGGAGGCAGAGCACCATGACTACACGCTCACCGGAAAACCCAATCGAGGTGCTGCTGGTTGAGGACAACCCCGCGGACGCCAGGCTGACGGAAGAGATTCTGAAGGACTCGGCGTACGCCGTGAATCTTTCGGTGGTCGAGGACGGAGAGGACGCAATGACCTATCTCCGCCGCCAGGGTGAGTACGCGTACACTCCCCGGCCCGACCTGGTCCTGCTGGACCTGATGCTGCCCCGAAAAAGCGGCCAGGAAGTCCTCACCGAGATCAATCAGGACCCCAATTTGCGGAACATTCCGATCATGATCTTGACCGGGACGGCGGCGGAACAGAGCATTCTCTGGCAGCACAACATCTCCCCGGGAAGGTTCTGTCGCAAGCCCATCGAGGTGCATCGATTCGACTCGGCCGTGGCACAGCTTGATTCGCTCAGCGAGCGTCCCCTGGTCATGGCAACCCCGCCGGCGGAGCCACAATCGAACCGGAAGTGGTGGTGGCCCTTCGGACGTTAGGCGACGTACGGGGCCGCGCGCTGTCGCGCTTTTGTGAACCCGCTGGATGATGGCGGGCCCGGAGGGTAGGCGCTGGCGCGTGCTCACTCGTCACCGGTGCGTCATCGCGAGGAGCACAGCGCCGTGGCGATCTCGCACTCGCGACGACGGCCTTCGCCCCGACGAGCTTGCCGCGCTTCGCTCGCAATGACATTTTCCAGGGCAGGCGGGCGTCGGGTTGACATACTCGGAGTGTACGGGCATCGTAAATCCATGCGCGCGTTGCTGGCCGGCATCTCCGGCGTCAACAAGGACATCGTCGTCGCCAACCTGCTGGCCCGCCTCCGCGCTCACGGCGAGGTCAGCACGCCGGCCGGTTCCGATACCGTCGCAGCCGACCCGTCGGAGTTGCTTACCGACAGCATCGAGGACGCGCTGGCCGCGCAGGGCAACGAGTTGGCCGGCGTGCTGGCCGCGTTTCGTCCCACCTACCAGCTGGCCGCGTGGCGTCGGGCCGGCCAGGCAATCGCCGAGCGGATCGAGGCAGCCGACCCGCGCCACAGCCTGATCGCGGCGCACCTGACCTACTACACCAGCGGCCGGCAGTTCTCCCTCATCGACCTGCCCACCATCCGCCGGTGGCGTCCCGACTGCATCATCTACGCTGGTCGACGACATGCTGGACATCCACAGCGCCCTGGCGCAGAGGGACGGCGACCGGCACACCAACTTCCGCCTGCGGTTGCGGGAGATCCTGGGCTGGCGCACCGCCGAGATCGCCATGGCCGACCTGCTGGCCCGCAACCTCTACCCCGAACGCGCCGTGCCCCACTACGTGGTCAGCATCAAGCACCCCGCGGAGATGCTCTACCGACTCATCTTCGCGCGCCGCCAGTACCCGCTGGCGTATTCCAGCTTCCCCATAACCGCGATCCGCTACGATCCCGACCTGCGGGCGGCGGTTGACGACATCCGCGCCGAGCTGCACCGCCGTTTCATCGTCTTCGACCCCCTCACGCTGGACGAGGGCACGCCCCAGGTGTTCGACAAGGCCCGCGCCGCCTGTGCCGACGGCACCACCGAGATCGTCATTGACGCCGAGGAAGCCCGCTGGCCCCTGGACACGTCCGGCGCCCTCACCGAGGGTCGCGCCGACCCGTACCCCATGACGCTGGACCCCCGGGAGGCGCTGGAGGTGTGGGACGACATGGAGAACCAGGTGCGGCACCGGGACCTGACCATGGTGGAGCAGGCCCAGTGCGTCGCCGCCTACCGCATCACCATGGGCGGCCGGCTCTCCACCGGCATGTACTCCGAGCTGATGTACGCCTCGCACACCGCGGAGCCGGCGCGGCCGGTGCTGATGTACGCCGACCCCTCCGACGGCGGGCTGGACCACCCCTTCCTGCGCAACTTCAACCACCGCACCTTCCACGACCTTGATGAGTGGTTCGACGCCATCCGGCAGATCGTGCCCAATGCCGAGCCCGACTCACAGCGGCCCCTGTTCTGACCCGGGCGTGCAGGGAGAGCGTCGAGTCCGGTAGCGGCTGTCTCGGCCGGCCGCAAATTAGGTTGCCGGTTTCCCGGTTACATCCAAAACGGTAGGGCGTGCGTAGGACAATAATCCTGCCGCGTGCAACAATATAACTCACTGTGAACGAGAAGATAACTCGTCGCCTGAGATAACTTGATGAGAGGAAACCATGAACGAAGAACTGCGCCAGTTCATCAAGGAGTGCCTGGAGAAGGGCATCGACCGGGAGTCCATCCGAAACGTCCTGCTGGAGGCGGGGTGGCAGGAGCGCGACCTGCGCAGCGCATTAGCTGCTTTCTCCGACGTGGATTTCCCGGTGGCCGTGCCCCGACCCCGACCCTATCTGCACGCTCGGGAGGCGTTCCTCTATCTGGTCTCGTTCATCTCCCTGTACGTCTTCGCCTTCAGCCTGGGAACCGTACTCTTTGGCCTCATTGACCACACCTTTTCCAACTCCCTCAACCGCTACGGCTCGTCGCCCTCCACGGGGGAGGCCACCGCCATCGCGGCGGTCATCGTCGCTTTCCCCCTGTATCTGATCCTGATGCGCCGGCTGGCGTCGGCGGTCGCGACGGATCCCGAACGCCGGCAGTCCCTGGTGCGCCGATGGCTCACCTACTTGACGCTGGTGGTCGGCGCGGGGATCATCCTCGGGGACATCATCGCGCTGCTGGCCAGCCTGCTCACCGGGGACCCGACGCTCAACTTCTTCCTCAAGGTCGCCGCGGTGCTGCTGATCGTCATCCCGATCTTCGGCTACTACCTTTGGGACATGCGCCAGGCCGAGGACGAGGTTTCCATCTCGGTCGCGCGGGCGACACCCGTTTTGCGCGCCCTGGTCATCGTCGCCGTGGTGGTGGTCGTGGCCACCGTGGGTTATTCCATCTACGTGATCGGGACGCCGGGCCAGCAGCGCGACATCCGGCTGGACCGGGAGCGGGTCAATGACCTGCGCAGGATCTCCAACAACATCGACACCTACCTGGAGCTCAACGAGGAGATGCCCGCCAGCCTGCTCGACCTGCTGGGTCCGCAGTACTACGTCCGGTCGATAGAGGATCCGGACACCGGCGCGCCCTACGAGTACCGGATCCTGGAAGACACCGACTACGAGCTATGTGCCATCTTTGCCGCAGAGATTCCGGAACGGGAAGTCGAGCGGCGACCGTTCTTGGAGACCATCTGGGACCACGGGCCGGGGCGGACGTGCTTTATGCTGACGGCGAAGGGGGAGAAGGGGTAGCAATCGAGGGTCGTTGCGCGCGTTGGCGGATAAGGTAGCCATCCCCGGCCCGCCGCTGGGTAGAAAGGACGAACGAGTTCCTTCAGACCTTGCCACGGGATGACTGTGTCTATACCGTCCCACATCGACAATGTGAACCGACGGCGGGCAAGGATCGTCGCCATAGTTCAAGCTAGAGCCGACGCCACGCTCTGTTCTTGAGCCCGTCTCCGGCGGCTCAACTCGACCTACCCAAACACCGCCCAAACCAGCGTGATGGTGCCCGCCGCTGCCAGTGACCCTGCCCACAGCAGGTCCAGGTTGATCCAACCCCGCCGCAGAAACGCCAGGCCAACCCGGTAGTAGACAATCACCGCCGCCGCCAGCATCGCGGCCAGCATGACGACGGTGTGCATCAGTAGCGCGGCAAGCCACCAGATGGGCGCGTCGGCCAGAGACAGAAAGCCGCCGTGCTCGCCCAGGTCGCCCACAATGCCTGATGTGGCGTCCGGTTGGGTCAGGGACAGCACCACCGGAGCCAGCATCAACCCGGCGCCGTGGGCCGTCGCCATCAGAAAGGACCAGGCTATCAGGTCACGCCCGCCCACGTTCATCCCCACCCATCGGGGGTGTCGGTAGTATCGGACCAACCGGTAAACGCCGAAGCCCAGCAGCATCGCGCCGACGGCGATGCGTACCCATCGCAGGGGGAGAAATGCGCCGGCCAGCACCAGCGCCACCATGATGATCACCACCGACGCCAGGTGACCGACGGCGATGTATCCGGTGGCCGTGTACAGCTGCACCGGCCGCTGTCGCTGCAAAGCCAGCGACACGGCGAACAGCCACCCCCATCGCGGGGTTCAGCCCGTGGAATATTCCCAGCGCGGCCAGACCCAGCCAGGGGCCCAGCGACGCCAGGGCCGCCGGATCGGGGATGAGGGCATGCAGCAACACTGCCGACACTACCGGTCCGGCGGCCCCAGAGCCGACGGGAATGTCCCTGCTACAGGAATGTCCCTGCTACGGGAAGCAGAACGTATCGGACGAAGCGTCGCCGCCCTGCAACCGCACCTGGTGGCTGCGGGTCTTCCCGTAATCGATGAAGAAATCGGAATTGACCGACATTCCGCCCTCGGGGTTCACGTCGATGCGGCTGAGCCAGCCGTTCAGCCCGTCGGGATAGAACTGGTCATCCCAGGACGAATACAGCGAGTTGGTCAGGTACACGCGCCGACCATCCCGGCTGATTTCCACCATCTGCGGACCGCCGGTCAGGGTCGCCCCGGTGGGATGCGCCGCCTTGCGAACCACGCCGCCCATCTCCAGGCTCGCCGGTCTGGACCGGGTTGAAGGGGTCGGAGACGTCGTACTGCAACAGCTTGCCGGTGCCCCAGCAGGACACGTACAGGAACCTGTCATCCAGCGAGAGGTCAATGTCGGTGACCAGCGGCGGCACCGCGCCCAGGGGCTGCAGGGCCGGCGGCAGATCCGCGGCGTCTGCCGGCTCGGCCGGTATGGAAATGATTTTGCGCGCGGCCCATTCCTCACCGTCCCGGTACCAGAGGAAGATGGAGCCGGAAAGGTCCTCGGTGCTCACCACCACGCCGCAGAACCCGTAGTGCCGCGTCGGGTTGTGTGCCGGGCGCAGCTCCAGGGCCATCTGATGCTGCGCGCCCAGGTCAACGGCCTGGCGATGGGCCCGGCGGCGCATATCCCAGAAGTGCAGTACGTGGCCGTAGTTTTGTCCCACCACGTCCTCGAGCCGGGCCCCGCTTTCAAACATCTCGGGCGTGCCCCACTCGCTGGTCATCATGGTGTCCAGGCCGATGTGCCACCAGAAATCGTAGGCCAGTTCCTGCGGCCCCCGGTCCAGTTCCCACGGCCCGATGGGCTCAAAGGTATAGTGGTCCAGCAGCATGATGCCGCCGGGACGATCTCCGTCCGCGGAGCCCAGGGCGCTGACGTAAATCGCGTCCGGCCCGCAGTGAACGGTGTGGGGGCGGCTGTAGCCCGCCCGGCGCACCTGCTCGGCCTCGATGGTCTTGACGATCCGCGGCCGCTGCGGGTCGGGTTGGGTGTCGATGATGTAGATCCGGCTGTTGGCCAGGCTCGGGACCACCAGGTAGCGGCGCTCCAGGTGGGGATGCGCCGACGACGGGCAGAGGGCCGCGCTGCAGGCGTTCCAGTTGAAATGGTGCAACTCGTCGCCCACGTTGGGCATTTCCAACGAGTGGACCACCTGCGAATACGACGCTGAGTTGGGATCGCAGTCCACCACCGTCATGGCGTCCGGCTCACCGGAATCGGGATTGAGCACGGCGACATAGGCCAGGCGTTCTTGCGGAGCCTCCATGGCCAGGCGCGCCGAGGGGTAAAAGGTGGGTCGGGTCTCCAGAGGGCCATCTGTCCAATCTCCTTCGTCTCACGCCGTCACTCGGCGAACTCCGGCGCCACGCGCTGCCGGCCCGCGTATCCTACTTCCCGTGTCGGCACGGCAGGATTGTTGCAGCCAGTCCACCAGTTGTGCCCCCACGGCTAACTGTCAAGGCCGTCAACACAAGTACAACATCGACGCGCTGTGCCATCCGCCAGCAAAGCACACCTCAGCTGGTCACCAGTAGAGTCGTTGCGACGCCTGCCGGCAATCGAGTTCCGTTCCGATCTCGAATGAACCACATCATGCCCCGCGCCGTACTCAATACCCCTCTCGATATGTACCTGCCCTCCGGATGTAGAGAGGCACCAACTCTATAGGGATCCAACCGGGCGAAAATGGCGGTTTGTTGGGCATCACAGGAGTGGTTTACACGCTACTGTGTGGAGCTGATCGGCGATAGCATGTGGTCGTTGCCGAATACCCAATATTCCGCTAGGTAACTCCACAACCAGTACGCAGACCGGGTTACGCAACATTTGGGCCAATTAGTCGCATTGCAGATTTCATTAGAAACTCTGACATTCTCCCGCCGCCCGATCCCACCGGCATCGGGCTTGCCGCGGCGCCCAATTCGGCCTGGGGCACTACAATGGCAACTTTACGGCAAAAATCTGCCATAGTGGTAGCGGTCCGCACTGTAAAGGAGGGACAAATATTTGCGAGCGGTAAGCAGGACCCATGGGCAAGACGGCGTGGACGGGTTAGCGGCGTTTGTTCATCAGGCTAACTCACCAGGCACAAAAGCCGGCCCTCAAGCTCTCCGTCATGCCTTTGGAACCAATTACATCCGAGTGTTGGCGGAGTCCCG